GGGTGAAACTAGTTGGTGTTTTCAGCATTATCAACAAGATAGCGCAATGAGTGCGTGGCGGCTCTCATCTCTCACGCCTACTTTGGCCCATGGAGAGGAGGATAGTGGACGATCTCTCGCGCGCTCTCATCTCCCGGAGGGAAGTATTGTACGACTTAGTTGGCATTGGGCTTGCACTGGAACGATTCTGTTGTAGTTACGGGGTGCACAAAGGTCACTGCAATGGTTGCATAGCCTCCGTTTGCAAAAAAGGAGCGCTTTTCAGACACAGCGAAGTAACAACTGAGACGCTTATTCCCGCTCATTTGTAACTGTGAAGATGTTTTGTGCATCATTTGTGTGTGGGAAATGCAGGGCACGTTTTGATCTGCTTGCCATTCTGCATCTGACCTTCCAATTTGTTGCTATCGCGTTCTATGCTTCACCTTTGCAGCTAAGCTGCGACTTTTTCTCGAGTCAAAACAAACCGTGCTTGTGTTTTATAAGATGATTAACCATCTGACATGGCCAAAAGCAGCAATCTCTCAAGAGAGATAGCAGAGTGTGTTTGTGCCCATGTGTACAGCAAATCCCTATGTTCACCGTACTGGACATGGTTCTCGTGTGAAAACCGCTGTACTTAAAGCCTTCTTTATATTTTTTGCATGCTTTTCAATGGCCCCTTAGCTAGGAAAGAACATTGAAAATTTTGTCCTGCCCTAGCAAAAAATCGGGTCGTAAACGATTATGCTGAGCAGTGTCCGAAAGTGCACTCAACGGGTGACTACAACTTCGCTTTCCTTTTACAGCAACGTTGTTTACGACTAGGGCAGTGGTTGGCGACATTTTTAGGTGGAGGGAGAGCCCAGTTGCATGAAGCCGACACAGCGGGGGCCCGCAGGTCAAACCAGGACACACTTAGTGGGCGAAAATTTAATGAATAGGAAAAAATGTAAAAAAATCGGAATATGAATATCAAGATTATATTTTTCCCATGCATGTCAAGAGTTGCAATTAACAAACCTTTACGTTACCCGCGCGCTGTACAAGAGCTGCAGTGAATCACTGTTTTAATTTACCGGTAGCCAGAAATGCTTACGGTCGAAGGCTCATAGAATTTCACGGCGCTCTCATATGGAATGCGATACTGACTGATGTGAAAGAGGCTAGAAATTTTTCATTGGCCATGAAGCATGCACTTCATGCGAACTTTCTAAGTATTACGTCTGCATAGTCATTTAGTATTATTATTACTATTATGATTAGTACTATTATTATTCTGTGCTATAAGTAGCTATGTTCTGCGCTATGTTTCTGTGTATAGTTCAATCATGTGTTTTTTTGCTTTTTTTTCTATTTCAAACATTGTAGTATCCAGTTTGATGTCCTCTGTCGCTGTGTAACCGCTTGCGCAAGTATGTAGGTATGTCACACAATTGGTCCCTCTACTAGCCAGTTAGGCTATGAGACCAAACAAGTGTTTGCGAAGTTTTTTGTCACATGAATGTGAAAGTTACAATAAAAAAAAAACAAATTTGGAGCAATAACCTCAAATGAGGTCAAATCTACCATGTAGACGTTCAGATAAGAAGTGACAAAAGGAGTGGGGGCGGGTTGTGACAATGTGATGGGGACGAGATAATACTGCCCTGCAGGCCACAGGTTGCCAACCCTGGGCTAAAGCTTTGCCATACATACCAAAAAGGCCTCCACCATTTCCCATCTGTGCCGTGATCTAAACAGCTGCAATGTTGACAGAGTAGAATAGATCCTCATTTTTTGACAGCGAAGCTCTTTAAGCTGTTGCATCAAGTGGGTATGCAGCACAGCAATTGAACAAGCACCACTACTGAGCACAGCTAGTGCGAAATGAAAACTGCTCGGCAAAGTGGAGCGCACCAAACATGTGAAAAATAGAAAAGAAAGAAATAAAGCGAATCAAACGAGAAACAAGAAAAAAAAGAGATAGCACAAAGAGCAAGACTGTGCTCTTTGGCTTTTCGCTCAACCAAACAACTTCATGCCACTACAAATAGACTCAAGCATGTCGTTGATACATCTGTGTACCTCTCCAAGAGCTAGAGTTAGGGATCTTGCAGGGGAAGTGTACTATTGTGATGGAGACATGCCGATTTTAGCACACACACATTATTCCAGGAGGCACAGTTTCAGTTACTCCAGTGCTAAACAGCCGTGAGCCCCGAAAAATGCACTGCTGATGCCGTGATGTCAGCGGTATCCATAAAGATTTTTTGTACTCTTGTGCGCAGCCCAGCATGGCCACTTTTTTCCTCTCCTGTGAAGAGATTTGGTTTCTTTTTTCTAGAGTGCTCAGCCAGCATGAAAGACCGCATTCTCCAGCTGTTTCTTCCCATAAAATGAAAGGTGTGCTTTACATTCCTGTGAAAGCTAACCCAGTTTTGGTTCTTTGGATCCTTTAGGAAAGAAACTCCTCGCGTAGCCGAGAGTTAAATGCAGTACCGTCTGGTCAGGTAAAGGCATTGTTGAACAAACAGGTCACTGACCAATGTCAAAACAAAAGTGAAACAAAAAAATGACATTTTGGGATTCTAATGAGTCCCTTGTTCACAATGAAATGATGGCTAAGCAATAGGTTTTTATGTACTAGTGAGCACATGACACAAAGCTTGACAGTGCACGTGGTTTAGTGTGCCACATGATCTACTGATTGTGTTACTTGTTGGTATTATTAGTGCTTCGAGGTTAACTCTCATTGTCAAACTTTTCTCCATGGCCATAACACATGCGTTGTCCCAGTTTATCTCGTGGGCCATCTTCTCGGCATGTTCTGCAAACGCATTTGTCACTGTGTGACCTTTGGCGACGCCATTCTTGTGCTGCTTCAGACGACAGCTATTCAACTAACATGCTGGAATCGATCCAGAATAGAGCCGCTAGATTCATCTCACAAAACTACGATCATAGCGCAAGCATAACACAAATTAAAGAAGCTTATCACTTTCCCTTTTGAGCAGCCGACGTGATCTAAACCTCCTTTTCATTATTTCATAAATACGTACATGAAACAAGGCCATTATCAATGACATTGCAAACACCTGCATTCACATCAGACTAAATAATCAGCGTTCACTCACACGCATATACGGTAAAACATACATTTTTAACTCATCTGCACTCCCCCGTGTCATCCGCATGAGGAACAGCCTTCCAGATGAAATTGTAGCTGTACGCAATCGAGAAAAATTCCGGCACCTTCAACTCAACCATTTCCAGGATTAACTGCTCGTTTTATTCATATCAAAATCGGCACCTACGCGTTTATTCACTACTAGTATCTTGCTTTTTTTCTCTTACTTTAAACTTATTTTGTTTGATGGTTTGAATACTAACGTGCCATTCAGTTTTGTTGTGTTTTATTCAGTGATGTTTTATTTTGAATAATGTAAAGTCTTTTCACAATTTGTGCTTGTTTTTTTTTTTAACTTGTTTTACGTCATTATCTCACGCATATACTCATCTGATGTTCATTGCCATTGTATTCCTATTAAAATTATTATTAATATTTTCTCATTGTTATTCCTGTTAGGACTTATATAATAACTGACAATTAGTTCAAGTTACTGTTTGTATGGAAATTGTACGAATTCGTGTATGTATTTCTATTATGCTCCCTTGACACAATGCCCTGTTGGGTCTAAGGTATTTTGAATAAATAAATAAATAAATAAATAAATAAATAAATAAATAAATAAACTGCAGAAATGCCCACGTAAACCAATTCATAATTGGCGCATGAGATCACACCAGGAAAGCGTTGCCAAGAAAGAAGATCCTTCCCATTTACCAAGTCAGCCTTAAGCTTGCTTACTGGCACATGCGCAATCTGTGCTCCATGTTTTCTAAACACACGGGCTAGAGTCTCACATCTCGAATGGATGGAATCGCTGCACACTTGTTATGTACAGCTTGACTGCTTGGCTGCTGTTTATGTATGACGAATTTAGTTATTTTCGTGATGAACTTCTTGGAGTATCCATTCCTGATGAGGTCGCTTTCAATAGTACGAAGCTCCTCCTGCAGGCTTTTTGCATTGAAACAGGTGCAAATAACTCGTCGAACTAAAGATTGAATCCCTGAGAATGGACTGACACATTGTAGAGGTATCTACCGAAGTGCACTGGCTTTCAGTACACAGCGAAGGAGAGGCTTGTGGGAGCATGTTTGACAACTGTGTCCAAGAAAGGGAGGAAATCTTTCTCTTCTTCCACAATAAAATTTATGGAAGGCTCGACGCAATTTAGACAGTCAAGGACAGGTTGGCAGTTGTCGATGTATCTTAAAAAGACTTTGGTTTTCAACTAAAAACTCTTCCAGTGCCTTATATTCAATTGCTTCCACTGCGATATTCGCAGTTGTCACTGATATCAATGCTCCAAATGCAGTCCCAAAAACTTGCCTGTAGAATTCACTCTTGTACAAGAAGTGTTGGACAGGCAAAACCTTCTAAGTGGTAAAAACAACAAAAACTAGATGAGATGAAGAGATAAAAGACAGGACGAGCACTGACAAACAACTTGTTAGCCAGTGCTTGTTCTGGCTGTTACGTATTTCTTCGTTTGTCTCTTCTGGTTTGCACTGTTTTTACCTTTCAGCATGTTTGACTCACTAGCCCAACGAAACGACCTTAGTTGTTTTAGTTGTTGTTTTTTTTTCATTTTCTTTTCACATTGGTCAGTGACCTGTTTTTTTTTTTTTAACTCCTCCTGATGTGCCCTTCGGTTAGTGTTCAAGACAAAGCAAAAGAAAACTGCCATAGGTGCTACATTCTTTAACACAGCACACTTTCTTGAAAACCTTGTGATGCCATCATGTTTTTTTTTGTTTTTTTCTGCGGGCCAAGCAAATTTCCTGGCATCATTCACTTTTTATAAAATAATTTACTCAAGACAAGGTAGGAAGAGAAACAAACAAAACCCGACATTTTAAAAAATATTTTTGCAGCATTCTGGACCATCTTGTTCAAGATAGGCTTGCCTCACCTCTTAATATGGACCACTTCATCAGGGCTGAATGACAACTTGTGAGCATGCTTGGCACCATCAATGACCCTGGCTCCATCCCTGGGTCGCAAGGGCAGTTTCTCGATCGCACAGTCTGGAAGAATGAACCCATCAGCGCAAAAATGCTTGCAATGCCTTTACATCACCACAGGGCTGGCCACAGTGAGCAAACGATCCCACCTCGAATGCAAAACCGCAATGCTCCTATGGCTGTCACACGAGCAACAGTCGTGTGGCCCAAACAGAAACGTCACGGCAAAGAGGAGCCCAACTAGAGGTCATCGGTGCTCCGAGGACGTTATTTGCTAGTAAAATAGCAAGAACAGCCAAGTGTTACTTTCATGGAGACTGGCACAATAGTGACGCGTAATTTTTTCCAACCTAACATAGGCGGTGGTATGACCTGACACACTTGTGGCATGCAACCCCACAGCACATGATTGATTTGTTGGGTTTAACGTCCCAAAACCACAATATGATTATGAGAGACGCCGTAGTAAAGGGCTCCGGAAATTTCGACCACCTGGGGTTCTTTAACGTGCACCCAAATCTGAGTACACGGGCCTACAACATTTCCGCCTCCATCGGAAATGCAGCCGCCGCAGCCGGGATTCGAACCCGCGCCCTGCGGGTCAGCAGCCGAGTACCTTAGCCACTAGACCACCGCGGCGGGGCGCAACCCCACAGCACAGTGCATAAGCGCCTAAACATGCCAATGACACCAACAGATGTGAACAGAAGTAGGAACATGACATTCCGCATGTCATTTGAACTTCATCACTGCATGAAGTTAAAAAAAAGTTTCTATTACGCTCATGCAATGACAAAAAACCCTGCCAAGTGAAAGTACATCCTAAAAAACACAAAATGTAATAAAAAAGGCTGCTAAATTGAACAAATATAGACAACAGGCCGCAATTAGACAACACATGTACTGTGTTGTCTTAATATGTTCTGTATAGTCAGTAGATTGAAGCATACCGGCTGCGGTGGCCTAGTGTTCAGTGTGCTTGATTGCTGATCACAGGATCGAATCCCAGTTGCAGCGGCTGAATTCTCAATTGAGTGACTGATATGTGGGGTTCACTGTCCCAAAACCACCATATAACTATGAGAGACGCCGCAGAGGTGGGCTCCGGAAATTTCGACCACCTGGGCCTCTTTAATGTCCACTAAAATCTGCATTGAGAATCTGCCTGCATTGAGAATGCAGCCACCGCAGCTGGGATTCAATATCGCTACGTGCGGGTCAGCGGCCGCATACCTTAGCCCCTAGACCACCACAACAGAGCAGCTGAATTCTCGACGGAGGCGAAAATGCTTGAGGTCCATGTACCGAGATTTAAGAGCAAATTAAAGATCCCCAAGTGGTTGAAATTTTTGGAACCCTCGACTACAGCGTCTCTTATAATTACATCATGGTTTTGGGAGCTCAATAATTCTCATTTGCACGATGAACCACTAATCAGCTTCAATTGTCAGTTTGGCATCATGTAGCTAGTTGGAATTTTCACGTTGAATTTCATTATTTCATTCAGCAAATGGCCTTAACACATGGAAGACTGACCAAACGAGGAAGCTTCAGATGTTTGCTTACAGAGTCATTCATAGAGCACACTCTTTCAAGTTGAAACAGTAGAAAGTTCGAGCAGGTTTCATTGAGCAGTTTCTTTTTTTTTTTTTTTTTCATCGGTAAATGTTTGCCCACCACTGTCCAGATGAGGCATCGTGTACGGTGCGGTATTCGCGACAAATCGCCTGCAGAGTACCCAGGCTCTTTTTTTTTATCTTTTGTCAACTGGTGGCAGCTGTGTTTTGTCAGAGCAGAATCCATTGACAACAGCTGACGAGGAAATCCTCTGAACTTGCAGTGCCTGCCCAGGTCGCACAGTGGCACATCGAAAATAATAACAAGGCGAGGACGAACTCCTCGAAGGGTCGGTCTGCACGCTCGAAAATACACTGCTCTAAAAAAGCCACGTAAAGTTTCAGGGGGCGTGCATTTGGCAGCTGCTCCGCCCCTCAGAAACACACGCGCTTTTCAGTAACACACAATTTCACAATGCTTGCCACAACTTCAAAGCATTCGGCCAAAGAAAGCGCTTACTCTAACCAGTTACACGAAAACTCGACACACACGCGGAAGGTCGATGAGACGTACCAAGAATCATCGCCATACTGCCGCAGATGCAGTAGTACACATTAAGCGGTTTCTCTTCATTATACTCCTCTTGATCCTTCGTATCAGAACAAACGATACTTCTAGAAACTACCTTTGGCATAACGATAAAGTGATGCAGGGCAACAATACTATAAACAGAATAAACGCGTCGTAGACAGCGTTTCTAGGCACACTCCTAGACGTGTGCGCAGAGAACACCTCGGGCCAAATACGGGCCAAATACGAAGGCGTAGACACAGTATGCAGTGCGTGTGGAGAGGAAGAAGAAACTGCCGAACACTTGATAACGTTCTGTAAAGGGCTTCACCCTATAGTTCAGGATGATGGCGCACAGTTTTTTAAAGCACTGGGGTTCGGGGACAGGGAGGGCAAAATAGACTTTAAGCGGTTGACTTAACTAGAAGGAGGTTATCTGATTGGTGGCTAGAGTCAAGGCACGAGTGAAAATTAAACCCTTCACTGCAAAGTACCAATCTTCAACTTCACTATTTAAAAGAGAAAAAAAAGATAAATCTAATGGTTTTTTCACTAAGTAATTTGCCTAGATGGCGACAGCCGCCGCCCAATCTTAAGGGTACTGCTACTAACATCCATCTAATCATCCAACTATCCATCCAGGCGTCGCAGTCATCCGGCTGAAACACAGAGGAACCTTTTTCCTTCCTCCGTGGGCTGAAAAGTCAAGCAGGTTCGTTGGTGCAGAAGCAGTGCGCAACAAGAAATAAGTCTTCCTTTATTTCTTTGTGTTTGTGAATACCATTATTAATTTTTCTCTCCTAATCAATAACTTGCGTTGCGAGTACTGTAGGTGTGAGACACGGGCAACGTTGCAGTGCCGTTGACCACGTGAAAGGGGTCGGCGACTGTTTTGAAGAAGTTCGGGGCGCCCATGGAGGAAGAAAAAATATAGTTTTTTCTTCCCTCCATGGGGGCGCCAGATTAGTTGTTAAACAGCTAGAGCCGAACACGAAGGGGACCTAGTGAGAGCACAGAACGTGAGAGTCTACTGGTAAATTGAACACGTGTGTGTGTCGGCTAGGCGGCATATTCGAACAGTTGTTGAGGTAGGATAGTTAGCGGAGGCGGCTGGAAAGCGGGATTAGGGTTGAGCTTAGGGCTGTCGGGCGCTTGGTCCGATGGGTTCGGGCGGGCGATGGCTAAGGAGGCTAGGAAAACCACGGGCAAGAGTGAGCTGGTGCAGTGCGAAGAATGCAAGACAGAATTCTCAAGTTTGGTCGACGCGCAGAAGGCGAGCTTCGTGTGAAGGCTGTGCGAGGCACTGAAGGCGGCCGTGCAGCGTATGGAGGATCAAGGTGCTTCAGGTGGAGCTTAGGGCGGAACGGGAGCAGAGGATGGAACTACAAAAACAGCTCGGAGCGTCGCGTGAGCGAGAGGAGGCTAGCGCCGCTTGTTAGAACAAATGAAGGGCGACCTTCGAAAAAAACGGGAAGGGCGGACCGAGCTTGAGCAGCGGATAAAGGAGCTAATATCGCTTTGCCCCGGCCCCGAGCGGTGTGAGACGGAAGGCGTGGGTAGCGAAGAAGGCGACCAGCGGGAAGGAACAGGCAGGCGAGAAGGGAGGTCAGGGGGCCGCAGTGCCTGGCCACAGCACGGAGGCTCCGAGAACATACAGCATGGTGGCGCAGCAGTCTTCAAGCAGGGTAGAAACACAGGACAGACGGCAGAGAGATAAAACAGGTGAAGCAAACAGGGGCGCCATCACAAACAGGAAGCTTGCGATTGGAGCGTAGAAGGGTCCTAGTGGTGGGGGACTCTAACGTGGCCAGGGTTAGGGATGGCGTCTTCAAGACAGTGAAGGAAGACGGGAGAGTCAGGATGGAGGCGCAGTCAGGGAAGTGGTGTGGAGGCCCAGTCAGTCATGGTGTATGCACTGACCAAAGCTCAGGAGGTTAAAGAGAACAGCATGGAGAGCGAAAATGTCGTCATTATTCATGCTGGGCTCAATGTTGTGTTGAAGGGCAAGCATCAGAACCTTCAAAGACAGTTAGCGGACGGGATGCGTTATCTCCGAGAAGCCTCTGGGAGTGTGCATGTGACCATATGCACAGTCCCAGAGGTCTGGGGGCAGTCTCGTGGGATTGAAAGGAGGGTAGTGGAGGCCAACTGTGTGATCAAGGGTATGAGCTGGCAACTCTGAAACAGCGTAATGGAAGTGAACCAAGACGTGTATGAGCCCGGCGCTCGCCCCTTTGCACAGGATGGCATTCACTACAGTGGTGCGATGGGCAGGAGGGTCGGGAACAGAATGGGTCGTCAAGCCACCGCTTTTTTAGGGGGACCCAGAGCCCTGAGGCCAACAGTGTAGCCAAAAATGGTTCTAAAGGGGCACAAAAGCCACACGGAGTCCGTGGGAGGAGAAATCGACATAAGCACAAGGGTCGAGCTAAGTCAGACGTAGGCTATATTAACATGCAGGGTGGCAGGAATATGTTAAAGTGGGAAGAGATAGACGAGCAGTTGAGGCAGGAGGAGATGATGGTATATGGGGTTGTGGAGACACATCTTCGGGACATGGAGCAACCACCCTGCGATCCAGACTACGTATGGGAATATTCCAATAAAACAGAAGGCAGCAAAAAGGGGGGTGGTATTGGTGCATTTATACATAAGAGCATGGGATGGCAAAGAGTCAAGCAGGGATGCAAAGAACATTTATGGCTAAAAGGGAAAGTGGCCGGGCAAATGACACTCCTTGGTTTTGTGTACTTGTGGACGGGAGCAAAGGCCAGAGAGGAAAACCAGGCAATGGTAGAGTGTATCTCAAATGACATTCAGGAGTTAGAAGGAGAGTGCAAGATAATTATACTAGAAGATATAATGCACACATACAAGATATAGATGGGTATACTGACTCAATAGGCAAAATGATCATGGATATGTGTGAAAGGCATGATTTGATTATTTGCAACAGTACGGAGAAGTGTGAAGGGCAAATAACATGGGAAGTAGGAAGGCTGCAGTCAACGATAGATCACGCACTGATGTCACATAGGATGTATGATAAGCTCAGGGGAATGCACATAGATGAATGTGGCTCCAGAAGTCTGGGTAGTGATCACAAACGTATCAAGCTAAGTTTTGGAAGAACAGCGAATGTGGGAAGGAGACAAGATGAGCAACTACAGTAAAATTTTCATTCAGAAAGGCAAATAAAAATTGCTACTAAACAAATTGAGAAAGGAATCACTGAGGATAACAAAAATGTGTGGACATACACAAATCTAATTAGACTCTTCAGGCTAGAGCTTGCTAAGGCACGTGACAAGTCACCCCGGAAAAGAAGACACACACCCAAGAGTTGATGGGATGAGGAAGTTAAGAGAGCCATAGCAAAATGTCAGGAAGCCTCTAGGGAACACAGACATGCTAAGCAACGGGGTGAACCGACAGATGATGTTGAAAGAAAATGGGAAATCTTTCTAAGCTCTAGAAGGAGAGCATCCCTCCTGATCAATGAAAAGATTAGAAGAAAGGGCTGGTGGAAGTACATAAAAATGACAGAAAGACAGCTGCGAAATTCTGGAACCATCTAAACTCCCTAAGAAATGAAACAAATCTAGAGCAGAGGTTTATAACTACAGCTCAAGGTGCCAGGCTAGAAGGGGACGAAGCTATTAAATATATAAGAACAAGGGTGACAGAAAAATTTCAACAAAGAAGTGCCTTATGCACCACAAAAGACAGGGATGGATCAAGTGGCACAATGGCTCCATTTTCACAATGAGAATGGGAAAGGGCTGAGAAGAGGGTTCCAAGTAGTACATCAGCAGGCACAGATGGCATTCCAATTATGCTGATAAAGACATTGGGTCCGAAGTCTAACCAGACTTTGAGAGAGGCAGTGAGCAGAACTATAATCGATGGTGAAGTCCCTGATGGATGGAAACTTAGCAGGATGAGCATGATTTATAAAGGAAAGGGGGAAAATATCACATAAACAACTACCGTCCCATAACAGTGACATCAGTGGTCTACAGGCTCTACAGGCTGGCGGTGCAGATTATAAAGGAAGGACTACAGGCGTGGATAGAGGATGAGGGGTTGTTGGGGAACTGCAGATGGGGTTTCGGAAACACAGGAGGTTGGAAGACAATCTGTTCTCACTGACGCAGTGCATCGAAATAGCAGAAAAAGAACTCAAGCCCCCATGGCTAGCATTTTTGGATATCAAGGGAGCGTACGATAGCATGGTTCAAGAAGACTTGTGGGGAATACTAGACACACTGGGTGAGAAAGATGGAGTCACTAATCTTTTAGAGGAAATCTATAAAAGTAACAAGGTAGTTATAAAGTGGGAAAAACAGGTATCCAAGCCGACAGAGGTGAAACGGGCACTTAGGCAGGGGGTCCCCTGTCACCCTTATTATTCATGATGTACTTACAAGGATTAGAGGCCAAATTAGAGGGAAGTGGACTTGGCTTCAACCTCTCTTTAGTCAAACAAGGAAAACTCACTGATCAGGCACTACCAGCAATAATGTACGCAGATAATATAGTGCTAATGGCTGACAACAAGGAAGATTTGCAGACATTGATGGGCATCTGCGGTAATAAGGGAGATAGGTTAGATTTTAGATTCAGTAAGGAAAAATCAGCAGTCATGATTTCGAATGACAACGAAGGTAGTGAGCTTAGAATACAGAAAATCACACTAGAGATAACAGATAAATACAAATATCTGGGCGTATGAATAAGCAATGGGACCGAGTACCTGAGGGAACACGAAATATACGTGATGACTAAAGGTAACAGGAATGCAGCAGTGATGAAAAATAGGGCATGGTGGAATTAAAATAGGTATGATGTTGTGAGAGGAATATGGAAAGGGGTCATGGTTCCTGGGCTGACGTTCGGCAATGCGGTCTTGTGCATGAGATCAGAAGTTCAAGCAAGATTAGAAATTAAGCAACGTGGAATAGGTAGGCTTGCTTTAGAAGCTCACGGGAATACACCAAATCAGGGAGTACAAGGTGATGTGGGATGGACATCATTTGAGGGCAGGGAAGCTAGCAGCAAGATAAAATTTGAGAAGCGATTGAGAGAAATGGAGGAGGAGCGTTGGGCTAGGAAGGTTTTCAGCTACTTGTACATGAAGAATGTTGATACAAAATGGAGGAAGCGAACCAGGAAATCGACTGGTAAATACTTAGAAAACAGCAGGTGGCCAAAGCAAAAAGAACTATCGGTTAAGAAGAAAGTGAAGGAAACGGAGACGGACATGTGAGAATGGGCATGATTAAGAAGTCCGTACTAGAGATCTATCGAACTTCTAAGCACGAAATTGCCAAGGAAAGGATCTATGATAATACTCAGGGTAG